ATTTACGTAGGTTCTTTCTTTCAGTTACATCTTGCTCTTCAAGCAAATGCTGATTGGTTGCTCAAGGTGGGTCCTTAGCAGATCCCACAAGGCCAAGGTTGGCTTAGAATCAAATTTCACAAATATTAGAGACAAGAACTAGCTCTTTGGGTGCCAATAGGGATGCAAAATAAAATGTCAAATTAGTTACATGGAATCTATCTGCCCATCTGGTGACCCAAGTTTCTGCATTATTTTGACTATTATTAGTTAAACCCTGGTTTAATCCAAGTTTTTCTATAACCATTTCCATAGCACATGAATAAAAATCTTGATACTAATCAGCAATACAATATTTGAAGCCTCTAAAAAAACCCTTGGATCATTGAGTTACCGTATTTTAAACATAGTATTTTTAATATTTCCAGGATAAAGGTACTTTAGATCTACCAAAACTCTTACTGGGGTAAAATAGCTATTTGAGGACTCAAACTTTTCATTGGTCCATGAAAAGCAAGATAGGTAAACAAGGAGATAAGAGAGGTATGAGTCAAGAATTGTTGAACTACTATTTTCAACAGGCGCAAAGTATCAGGACCATATGTTAAGCCACAGTACAGAAAATTTATTGCTCAAGCTTATACACAAGAATCTAGTCAACTAAAGTTCAATACTAAATTGGCACCAGATAAGGGTCAACAGAATTCAAGACAGATTGGATTTAGACTGTTTATGGGAATGCAATGATTCTAAGCTTATGACATACTTAATTCCACCCACCAGCTCTGACTGCTCTTCTCCTAGAAATGGCCAAGATAGAGGGGAACTGCATTTCAGAAACATTTGGAGGGCCACAAGTCTCCACCCCTAAGAAGTAGACTAGTCAAAAGAGGAAATAACGTTTAGAAATATCTGAGGATATCAGGCTTCAATGCATTTCAATGGGTTATTGTTTGTTTCCATTTTCAGAATCGGCTAGAGAGGTTAGATCCTAAATCTACCCCTTGCCTTCATCAGATGCTTTGAAGTTCAGATTTCTCCTGTCCAGGATTAAATATTTTTAAAGTCTAATACTTTTGGTCAGCATAAGAATGGGGGGGGGGGGGAACTGCTCTGTGTAATTCTAATTCTGGATTCACTGATATAGCCAACAACTGTGGGGAACAAAAATGCCTCTGGGAATGAGATTATGTCCTGATGTAGAGTCATTCCCACTGAGACATTCTCAGTCAGGAATGTCCCCAAGCTGCCATTAGTTGCAGTTCCACTGTCTCCGAAGTAGTGGAAAGCACTCTTTAAAAAGCAGTTAAAAAGAAAACAGTACAACCCACTTAATGATAACCCTCCCTTCCTTCCAAATTAACGCTTTTTCTACTACCCTGAAATATCAGTTAAAAAAAAATTTTTTTTTTGAAGAATGCAATAATTAAATAAATAACCCAGGAGTCATTTTTTTTTTCTTTTCAGGAATTGTTAAAAAAAAAAAAAAGCTCTGGCTACTAGGCATTTAAAATAAACAAAGACATTAAATAAAAAGAACACAAGACCACACAACTGAACGATTAATTTAGCCGAGAGCTACAATACGGAATCTGGGGCTAGATGAGCCAAACTAGACTGGGTTAATTGTAGAACAACTTTCAATGCTCATTGAGTTATTTCCCTTTACATTCGCAAGGATACCTTCTTGTTTTTTAAATAGAAATAGAAAACGGACAGGCTTGCATTTTATTTTCATCAATCCCTTGTCACTAGATGTTGCAAACTGCAAAAACAAAACAAAAAACTTTTCTGAAAAAAAAAGAAAAAAAAAGATATCCTTCCGAGAAATGATCTCAGTGTAGAATTTAAATGACTCCTTAATTCAAGAGACCAATAGCCAAGGGGGAAAATGTTTCGATAAAGGTTGATTTACTCACACAGTGTCCCAGGTATATACTCAAAACTACCTATAGCCAGCCTGCACAGGGAGGAGAGCATTTATCAGTAATTGGGCATGTTTAAACAAGCATAAAAGGAACTGAATAAGTAATGAGATTATTGCTGTGCCCCTGAAGACTTTAACAAAGGAAATAGAATCACGCTTAGTGCACAATGTTGAGTAAGCACAACCTCTCTCTGGTAAAGCTCCATGCATACAATTCTTTCTTGGAATACAAGCAGTTCTTGACTTACAGATGTAACGGAGCCTGGAATTTCCATTCTAAGTCATGGCAGGCAATTCTACATCAAGGCACCCATATATCTAACCTGATTTTGCGACCTTTCTTGCAAAAGTCATAAAGTGAGAGTCCACTCATTCCTACAGACATTTTTTTTTTTGCCAGAGACTAGCTGAAAACCAGCAAAAAAAGTTGTAAACTACAGTCACACTATAAAGACCAACAATGTTTTCAGTCTCTCCCATAACTGTCTAGATTATTCATGCTTTCGTTTTTAAGAACAAATATTCCAACCTTCAATCTTTTGACATCTTCACAGTTTTTTTCCAAATAAATCATCCAACATCCCCGTGATATTTGGAACAGTCATTAATTTGAGTTTGGGGAGCTGGTGGGGGCCCTGCTTTCCCCAGACCCTATTTCACCAATCCTGCAATATACAACTCACTATAATTTACTGCCGATAGTCCAATGTCTTGATGGCATTAAACGTTCATTGATAATAGCTGCTGCTGCTCCCTGTTTATGAGGTTGCCCTAGGGAGTCGGGCCACAGCAGACTGAAGGAGCAAATACTTTAGATATACTGTATAACACTGAACTCCTTCTTATCTCCTTCTTAGAAAGGATCTGAGATAGAAGAACTGGAAAGTTTTCCCATGAGGTCTTGGCGAGTTACTGGCACACCTGAATGAGGAATATCTCCTGAAAGAATCCAATGGCTTGAAGTTTCTGAGTCCTATGAGCAGCCTGGCCCATGAGAGAACTAGACTTTATTGTCACTTGTTCTGCATAAAAACCATGGAACAAAGAAGAAGGTGGTAGGATGGCTGGGAGAATGGATATGGCTTTGTTGTTTGTGCCCAGTGAATTGCTGCCTCAAAAGAAGTGCTTACTCTGAACATCTCAGGACAATTGACCTAGGATTGGACATTTGAAGGAAGATTCTGGGCTGATCCATTGGACCAAGGACCCTGTGGTTTTCAGCATGTGTACCATGGTAAGAGGGACTTAGGCCCTTGAACCTGTTGCAAAGAAATTACTTTATACCTGGCTGCAAGATCAGATACCCTATGATAGTGGGTGTCTGGGCATGGAAAGTTGAGCCAGGCCACATTTATATACCACTTTATCTTATTTATCACTCAGTGCAATTAAAAGCAAACAAAACCTTTGCATTTTTGTAATAACATGCAGCTGTTCAAAACGAATTCAAATTTTAATTGTGGTTCTTGACAAACCTACTAATCCAAAAACAGATGTTCACCATTGCCCTATCCTCTTAATCAACAGCTGCCCTTAATCCAAAAACAGATGTTCACCCTTGCCCTATCCTCTCACAAAACAGCTGCATAAGGCTTTAGGAGATCATCCTAACCCACCTTATAAGGTTGTTGATGATAAAAACGCATAATGTATGGGAAATATATTGCACATTCAAGCCCACTTATTCAAGCATTTTTTATCGCTATACAGTACAGTAGTGGAAATTTCAAGGAGAGGCTTTATAGACAATCTTGCTTCTTTTGGATTGAAATAGTGACATTAATACAAATTTCAAAGACATCGTGTATGGATGGACTGGTGCACACGCACACAAACTCACTCTTAGACAGAGAGGTAGACAAACATAAATAAGTAAAGAAGCTGGCAATGAAGGTTGAAAGCCCAGCGTTCAATTCTACCTATGGATATAGGCTGCATTTTTTTCTGGCCTTGAAGACAGTGTTCATTCTTGGGGTATTTTAAACTTCTGAAGTTCACATTTTATTCCCTCGTGGCAAAGAAGACTTAGGAATTCTTCTCTTGTTCAATGGATTGGTAAGAGACAAAGGTCAATAGGAGCCTGTCTGTTCTGCAACCTTTAGCCCCAGAAAGAAGAGATTTTAAGTGGTCTCTGTGGGATAAGCAACAGCCATGCAGTTTCTGAAGCATCTTCATATTGAACTTGTAGCAGAGGAGAAGAAAAACACACTATTTGGGGTGCTCGCAATAGGAAAAAGAAGGAAGTTGTCCAGTTCTTGAGAGTCACTTTAAATTCCTTGGGGGAAGTTTTTGTTTCTGTTATTTCTTTTCTAACAGTAAAAAAAGAGCAAGAATTTTATAGTAAGCAAAAATGGGATTCCTTATACGGCCATTAACCTATGGAGCTGTGAAGCGCTACCAAATTATTCTTGAAATACAGGTAGTCCTCAACTTACAATAATTCCTTTAGCGACCATTTGAAGTTAAGAAAACACTGAAAAAAAAGGCTCTGGGCTAAATGAAAGGAATCAATGTTGTGACACGGTCCTTGATCCTAACTTATGAAAGATGAAGTTGCAAGATATGAGTCCCTAAAGTAATGGTCTCTTCTCCAATATAGTTCTGGAATTATCGGTTAACTACTGTTAATCCATAGCCCAAATTGTTATGGTTTATATCCAAGCAAAAAAGATTGATTAGAGCGGTGGTGGTTAGAATGCAGGATTGCAGGCTAATTCTGCCGACTGCCAGCAGTTCGATTCTCACTTTCTCAAAGTTGACTCAGCCTTCCATCCTTCCGAGGTTGGTAAAATGAGGAGCCAGATTGTTAGGGACAACAGGCTGACTCTATATACTGCTTAGAGAGGGCTGCAAAGCACTGTGAACAGGTATATACGTCTAAGTGCTATTAGGTGCCATGTTTTTTTAAAAAAATTAATGCAAACACTAAGAAACACTGGAATCACAGGTGAATCCTTATTGCTTACAATAAGTTTTGAATATACGTTCCCTGCATATAGGAACTGATTGGGGTGGAATAAAGAGAAGAAACATTGTCCAGAAACCAGATCTAAAAAAGGCTGGTTTTTCAATGCAAATATAAAGATTCACATACCATTCTCAATTGCTTGGCTGGTGGAAAAACACAGCTTGTACTCCTAAATGTATCTTCCAAGTCACAAGCATGCACTTGTAGACTGATCAGTAACTCTGCTGTCTGTGGAGAAGAATGAAAGCTTTCTTTTAAAAAAAGTAAATAAACAACAAATTTATACCCAGGAGCCCAAGAAGGCACACGCAAACATCTAAAAAGAGTTTGTGGAAGATGCGAACCTGATAAAATATACAGCAAATGCACCTACATCAGTTCCAACATTAAGGACTTAAGCCAGAACTGAAGTGGCATGGAAGGAGGTCCAAAAAGAGAAACAGAGTTTATTTTTAGATACTTTCTCCAAGATTCAAAGCTACCCAAAGATTTATTTGGATTGAATGGCCAACATTTTCAAGTGGAATTCATTTAACCTCTGAATTATGCTGTTAGTAGGGCACTCTACGAGGCTGAATAGTATACAGAAATGTATGTTGAAGGTTAAACTGTATTCTAAAATAGTTGCTAAATATTTAAATGCAAATTTCAGTTTTGAAAATTAAAAAAAAAAAATCAGCGAGGGAACAGGACTTGAGAAACATGAAATTAATAGGGACATTAACAGGGAAATTAATTAACCTGCTCCTCCTCCCCAGTCCAATCTTCCAAAGAGTTGGGAGATGAGATTGTCCCAACTGGAGGGGAACAAGAGATCGAGGCAGCCATACTAGTGTCTTCATATTCCAAGCTTGGATCTAAGCCAAAAAAGCATCTTCCACTTAAGAAAAAGGCATAAGCCGATTCAGAGGAATCCCCAAGGGTTCAAAAATGTGAACACCACTGAAAAATTAAAAGGGAAGGGGCCTAAATAACATAATAAAAGTAGTCCTCAACTTACAAAAGTTCATTTAGTGACCGTTCAACATTACAACGGCAATTAAGATACGTTTCGATTAGAAAAGATATTTTAAACTGATATTATTGATAACTATTAGAAAACTGTAGCAAAGATGCTGATAGTCAACTGCATATTTATTACCAACAATAAGAATTGCATTTGCTTAGTGGGGGAAAATGTCTATTCCCGGAGGAAGAGAGGATGTATTGGAGGGTGTAATATTGGATTTAGTTTGAAGAAGCTTATATGTACCACGGAATTACTAATGGACCCAGTCAACACGTTGTCTATTAAGTACGTGATTGTAAAAATAGAAAATTAATAAAATATTTATTTTAAAAAAAAGTTACAACGGCACCGAAACAAAGGACTTATGACCGTTTTTCACACTGACCACCGTTGCAGCCTCCCCAGGGTCACGTGATCAAAAATTAAGATGCTTGGTAACTGGTTCATATTTATGACGGTTGCAGTGCCCAGAGTCATGTGATCCCCTTTTGTGACCTTCTTACAAGCAAAAAAGAGTAGGAAAGAAAGATTCGCTTAACACAGTGGTGGCGAACCTATGGCCCACGTGCCAGAGGCGGCACTCAGAGCCCTCTCTGTGGGCACGCGTGCTGTTGCCCCAGCAGAGTTCGCCAGAGTAGCGAGCACGTGGCGTTTGGAAGCGACAGGGCAGGAAGTGAGTGAGCAAGTGGTGTTGGCCCCCAGGGATGCCCCAGAGATGGCGAGGGACTGGCCCCCACCGCCCTGGCCCTGGCCACACTCACTCAGTCTGCCATGACCACTGCAGCTACACCCACCCAGTGGGCCATGCCCTCCGCCCCCCCCCCCCCCCGAGAGCACCACCATCCTGATGCAGCTCTGGCACTTTGCGATAAATAAGTGGGTTTTGGGTTGCAGTTTGGGCACTTGGTCTCTAAAAGGTTCGCCATCACTGGCTTAACAACTGACTTACTAATCTAACAACTGCAGTGATTTATTTAACAATTGTGGCAAAAGAAGCCATAAAATGGGGCAAAATTCACTTAACTACAGAAATATTGGACTCAGAGGTGATCGTAAGTCAGAGACTACCTGCACATATTGACCAGCAATGATTACTTTGGGGAAGAGTAGAAACAATACTTCCTGGAAGACAATATTCCTGACCTTCTAAAGAAGAATTCTGCCACTATAATATCCTATTAAATGTCAAATGGAAACATGGCACCGCGCTCAAAATAAGAAGCATCTGGTAAGGCTATTTTTTAAAAAAGCTCTATTAAGTTAGCTGAAAAACTGTTATTTATTAGAGTATTTGCATACTCTAGGCACCGAATAACAGCAGAACATGAATTTTGAAGTGTGCACTATTTTTAATTACTTGTTCTGATTTGTTCCAAATCCCCACAAATTATTTTACTTTGGAATACTTGTAAAAATAACAAGATTAGAAGGGCAAGGATAAATCCTAAGACTTACTCTCTCCTCAGCAACTATTCATTAGAAATTCAATTACACAGGTTCACAAATTGGCACCTGAATTTATTTATGTTACTTTTAACCTGTTGAATTGCCTGGCTGTTAGTTTATAAGTCTTGGGGAAGGCATTTGTGTGCATAGCTAACTTGGAAACAAAACCTTGCTATCCCAACCTCAAAAAACGGCAATTGGCTTTACAATAGCCAATAGATAAACAAAGGCTGGGATGACGCTGGCTTTAGGAAGTAAATCCTATCTTTAGAATTATCTGCCTCAAGTGTGTTTAGTGAGCTGGGCCAACATTTGTTATCATTTTCACAGAATCACTGCATCATGAAATATAAATACGCTCTACAGTCAACCCATAGAAGGAGATGGATGGTTTAGATGACAAAAGTTGGCAGAGGGATCAAGTAGAGCTGAAATTTAGAGCTGAGGAAATTGCACAGTTTAAGTGCCTTCTTCTAAACTTGCTTCCAGCCAATGCTATCTCCCATCCTCCCATACTTTTCTATGTACGCCACAACTGTCTTAACCCCCTTAAAAACATGCAATTATTACATAAACACCCATCCTTCCCTCCCATCATTTAACTGATTAATTAAATTAATACAAAGATGGTCTTGTTGAGAACTCTAATGTCTTTGTGTGCGCTCTCCTCCTCCTCCTCCTTCTCCTTCTCCTTCTCTTTCTCTCCTCCCTCCCTCCCTCAAAGTCAGTCAGCGAACAGGAAACAAAGAGTTTAATTCTGTCTGGTTTCATGAAGAGTTTTGTATGTCAGTAGCTGGAAGTCAGCCAGTTCCTTGGACCAGCCACAACAGAGGTTGTTTGAGGGGAACCCTAGCCCTCCCAAAACTCCTGAGTTGTTGGTTTTTTTAAAAAATAAATAAATAAATAAATAAATATTTGGAGCAAGCACATCATCAGCAAAAAAAAAGCAGCTTGTGAACCAGTTCCAAATACCAGCTCAGCGGGGAATTGGCGAAGTGAAATATCAAACCTGAAAGACAAACAAACAAATGCTGAAGCAAAGTGTGGCGGACAGAAGAATGAGGATTAATCTGAGATCAATATGGTATCTGCCACTTATCTGGTGAGGCGAGGGGGTTTGCTAAAGCACAACACCTTCCATTATTCAAGGAGAAACAAAAATTTTAATGTGCTGTGCTCCTGGAGGGCCTGGCTTAAGCTATTAAACTGACAAATAACGTCCAACAGAATTCTGCTTCTCTGTTTGCTATTTCTGTTCTCCCCCCCCCCCCAAATCCATCCCCAGCCGAGTTAAATCAGACATTTGTTTCAGATGCTTGGCACTGCTCACAACATACCTCTGCATCATCGAGGTTATTTGTGGAACAAAGGTGAGGTGTGCATTTGAGGAGGTGCAAATTATTAGTGCAATGATAAGAATTAAGACTTTTTGAATTTACCGGAGACAGGAAAATGACCCTATTTGAGATAAATTTTTCCCCTGCTCAAAAGAAGATTAGATAGAAAAAAAACTCATCTGCACCCAATACTGTATTGTCAATTAATATAAAACACACATATAACTCCTCAAATGCGTGTGCGCGCACACACACACACACAGAGGGAGAGGGAGAGGGAGGGAGGGAGGGAAAGAGAGAGAGAAAAAGAGAGAGAGAGAGAGAGAGAGAGAATATGAGAATGAGACTACTTTGTTCTAAATTAAAACACGGGTCTATTTATTCCGTTCTATTTTACATCAACCTTTGGAAGAACTGAAACATCAGGCCAGAGACAGATTGCCATGAAGAATATTTATGTGGTTGCTAAAAGTAATGATGATTTGTTGGCATGTAATCAATCAATCAATCAATCAATTTTACATCGGGCACTGAATCTGTGTTCCCCCAAAGTCCCTCAAAGTGTTGCCACTTAACTGTTGTCTCTTTTTTAATGGATTGGTATTACATAGATAGCAATCATGTGAAAATTAACTTGTTTACATACAGTTAATGCATTTAAAATTCAATGAAGCTGGAGGAGGGGACCTCCTTGTCATGGGCCCATCCTCTGGAACAGCATTCCCCCCCCCCCCAGCAAGAAAAGGACAGCGTCTTCTCTCATAGGGGTCCAGAAAGCTTTTAAAACTTGGCATCTGTCCCAAGCCTGGGGTTAACATATTATTGTATATTTTGGGGAGAGGGCAGCTGTTTGGTTTGATTTGTGTTGCTTTTAAGGTTGTTTTAGTTTAGACTGTCTATAATATGGTTTTATGTCTTAAGTGTTTTTATGGATTTTTTGGGGGGGGAGGGTTCGTATGCCCCACTGAATCCATTGGAGCTGGGCGGCTACAATACATTAGAATAAATAAAATGCCACTCCAATGTTAAATGTGGTCATTGGCTTGGCAAAAAACAACAACTTGCAACTCTTTTTTTATATCATTCTTGCCCATAACTTGGTGCTTTTCCTGTGTGCCGGATTTCAACTCCAAGCAAGTACAGGAGTCCTCGGTGTAAGACTGTCAGTGAATCCAGACTTGCGGCCAGAAATTCAGGTGGTTGTTAAAACATGGCCACGACTGATTTTACAACCTTTTTTAAAGCAGTCGTTAAGTCAACGCCACGGTCATTAACAAGGCCATTTTTTTCAATGGTTTTTTTTTTCTAAACTGGGAATCCAAATGCCAAAAATTATGGACTTAGGGGACAGCGCAAATGGCCGTAAGTGTGAGGCAACTGCAAAGCGTCCAAAATATGATTGTGACTTTGGGGGGAATAGGTCAGTCATCGGAACT